GCTTTAGCTCCTTGGGCCCTCGGCTGCCCACCCAAAGGGCTCCTGCAGAGCTGGGGCTGCCAGGGTGAATGGTAGCTACGTGGTTTCATGACTCCCTGGACAGCCAGTTCTCTGACTCTTAGCCTGACTAGGGCACCCAGCTCCTCTGGGATGTAGAAGTCCTGGTGCAACTCCTCAAGAGAACTGCTGTGGAACTAGAGAGCCTAGTAGCACTTTTGGGAAATTCTAAAATTCCTGCTTCATCCCAGACCTCAACAAAAGGTTTTCCAAAATCTCCAGATTTCCCTTAAGCTGGAAATTCTGAGTTTAACCCCTCCCTAATGAGAAGCCAGTACCCACATCTATAAACTGCTTCGTGAGTCTCCTAGTAGCCGTTCCATCTGCCATGGGGAAAATAAAGGGTTTGGATTATTGTGTCTCATTAAATACATTTCATCAGCTATCATTGCATGGGATCAGAATACCTGTCTGTCCACCTCTTCCTGTTGTCTCTCAGCTACTGCTTTGATTGTGAACAATTTGGGAATGTGCAGAGCACCTAGCAAAATGAGATCCTGGTCCATGACTCAGGCAACTAGGGCTACTGCAACACAGATAAATACTAATGCAGATGTTCGCGCAACACAGAGTCAACCTGTGGAACTCCTTGCCAGAGGATGTTGTGAAATCCAGGACTTTAACAGGATTCAAAAAAGACCTAGATAAATTCATGGAGGATAGTCCATCAATAGCTATTAGTCAAGATGAGCAGGAAAGATGTCCCTAGCCTCTGCTTATCAGAACCTGGGAAAGGGCAACAGGACGGATCACTTAAAGATTCCCTGTTCTGCTCATTTCCTCCGGAAAAACTGGCCACTGTCATAATACAGTATACTAGGCTGGATGGACCTTTGGTCTGACCCAGTTTGGCCATTCTTATGTTTGGGAAGATGAGGTTAGCAGTGTATCTTCCTTTTACAAGCATTGTGGCCCTCGTGCTACAGAGAAATTCCTACTGAGGGCCTGCAGTGGGAGATGAAACATTCATAGCTCCTAGCAGAATCAAGGCACATTAACCTCATTTGGGAAAGTCTCTTCGGCTCTTTATTGCTGAAGGTGGCACCGGTGCATTTCTTCTGAGAGAGAGTCCGTCTTTTTAGAGTTCTCCTGTGCGGCTTGTTTCCTAACAGATTACAACAGATTCCAAAGACTCTCCAGCTGAAAAAAGAAGATTGAAATTCTGGACCACGGATGCTGCATACATGGCAAATGTCCACAAAATCGCAATAGCCACCACCTGCCGGGATATCCACTTTTTTGACGTGTCCACAGCAAACCTCTTGGAAGAGTTTCATTTATTTGGTACAAGCTAGGGTGTTACTAATAGGAGGGGGCCCTGTTCGTGCTCCCGGTGTCTATTCTGATGTTTGGCTATGAATCAGGCTTCTGATTTCCAGCATTGCTGTCCAGGGAGAACACACCAGGCTATTTGAGTTTAAGGCACAGGATCCTGGGTATTTTGGAAAGCAATAAACCAAACAAAAATCCCTAGTTGCTACTCATTACAGTTGCTGAGGCTCCTATTGTTGCTCTCTCTGGCTATGTCTAGACTGCCGCTTTTTATCGGAAAAAGGTATGCAAATTGCGCTCTGTAATTTGTGTACCTTTTTCCCATAGCTTTGTCAAAGAGGCTTTTCCAAAAAATGTTGGCCCAAATACACTGGGCCAAATTTTGGAAAAACCTCCTCTTTTGGAAAAGCCCTTTTTCCTCATGGCACAAGGAAGACAGGGCTTCCAAAAGAGCATGTCTCTTCTGCAAAAAATGTCAAAAGAGCAGGCGTGTTCCCTGGATGCAGTGGAGTTTTTCCGGGATACCGGAAAATCTCCGTAGTTGAGACATAGCCTAATATTGCTCAGTGGCGTTAGCCAAAACTGGCCAAAGGCAGGTCGCTAAAGCCATGTGGATGGAGCTTAGAAACCAGTCCCCAACTTTCGTCACTGTGGAGGGGATGGATTTTTATAGATGTGTGTGGGTATCAGGGTATAAATTAAAGGCTGGAAGTATCACTCTTACTAAAGCCAGCAGACCAAATTCTGTTCACATTGATACTGGTATAAATCCAGATGGGCTCCATTGGGCGCAGTGATTTTACTTTTGTGAAATCAGCTTGTGACCCCACGGGATTATCTGAGATCAATGGAGCTATTCCAGTTTTATATCATTTAAGAAGTTGGTTCTTTATGTCTGGTGGATCTGATTCGACATTGTCTTGTAGCTTGTGCACCCAGTGGAAGGGAGGTGCTGGCATTCTTTGGTGGCAGCATTTATTTCCTGCAATGGAGAAAGAGGCCCAATGACCCTTGGGCCATATCTTCACTCTACAAAAACTGCCACTGCCACGATCGATCTTCCGGAGTTCGATTTAGCGAGTCTAGTTAAGACTCGCTAAATCAAATTCAGAGGATGTCCCAGCCAGTGTCCCGTACTTCAGCTTCCTGGCAAGAGCAGAAGAAAGTGTTTGCTTTCATCAGCCTCCTACTGTGGGGACGCCACCAAGCTTGGCTTAAGGCATGCCAATTCCAGCTACATACTCTACGTAGCTGGAGTTGTGTACCTTAAGCTGAGCTGCTGGGTCTAGTGTAGACCAGTTCTGACTACTACAACTGCGGGGGGGGCGGCAAGTGAATGCAAGAAATGTTTGGGGACAGGCTGAGCTGCCAAATTCAGATCCATTTCTAAATTTCACAACACTTCAGTGAGCATTTGGGACCAGCATGTTAGTTCACATCAATCTCTAGTGATGATTCTGTTCATAACTATAAGAGCGCGTAGGTGATCATGAAAATAGAAAAGGAAACTAGACCTCATTCCAGCCTCTCTCTCTTCATGCATAGCCAAGGAATTTACACTGTTCAGTGCCATTAACAGTGATGAGTTCCATGCATCTCTGTCTTCTCCCACTGCACTGAGAGAATAAGACCCTTTTTTATGTATCCCGGGGAAAATAGATACTGAGGAAGTGAAATAGGAAAAATAATTGAGTAATTCTAATATTCCATTTCATGTTCTCCCCTTCCAGCTCTGAAAAATGTTCCAACTTCATTGCACTACTGCTATAACGCAAAGGTACAGTGACACCACACTTCGAGTTCCAGTGTGTGCTCATAAAATTATCTGCAACCGTTAGTGCTTCTCCCCAACACGTAAAAGTGTTTGTGATCATTTGTGCCAAGCTATAACTCTTTGAAGGGAGGTCACAGTCTAGAATTGTCTTAGATTTCAGACTCAAGGCCCCCTCCAGATTTCGGTCACAAAGATTTTTTTTAGGAGAAGCCCGTCACGATTCAGGGTGAGAAGGAAAGTTCATTATTACTTCGAGGAATAAAAAGGGTGCTCTCAGATTTGAAACTCGGAGTTGTTTAGGAAGATTTTCTAGCTATAAGTGACTTAGGAACAGAGGATTTGCACAGCCGAGCCTTCTCTGTCAACTTCAATATCCTGCTTCTAGCAGAGGTGGGCAGCT